GAGAGTAAAAGGAGAGTTCGGTGATCTCTTGGACAAATCACCCTCTAGGACGCCAAGATAGGTTCAGCTAGGAAGGGGAGGAACAAGGGAAAACAGGAGCTTTTCCCCGTGGACCAACCCATGACGTGATCCTATTCCCGGGCCCATAACACGAGGTCATTGAGGATGAAGTCACTGATTACCAAGGAGACCTTACATTGTGAAAGGAAGGAGGTCTTGCTTGATTTTCACTGTGTATACCTCTGAGTTTTATAAAATTAGTTAATGCCTCATTAGATTTTGGTTTGCTTAAAAAATGTTTCTTCCATTATTGTCTATAACAACTGCTGTCATGCTTCTCCATACGAATATTTCTCCTCTGCTGGAGTAATGTATCAGTGTCCTGGGTGGTTCCGCCTAGGACCAAATAAAGCAACTCAATACTTGTCTTCATTATGTGTTTTTCTGATTATACATGCTTTCCACCATTCAATCAAAATAACAATGATGGCTGATGAGTCAATGGTGTAGTTGTGATTGTTATGGACTCCATCATAATTACATTAATATCCACACAGAAAATTGGAGCATTGGAGCTGTCTCATAGAAGGAATGATGTGTGGCAGATGTTTATGCATAAAAAAGATCTTTTGCCATTATTATTGCATTTGGTATCTAATCTGCAAAGTATAATCACGATGTGCCTTGATTCTTTCCATCAGATGCGCCATTTTGTTGTGCTCTTTTGAGGAAAATCCTACTGAGGCTTCTATGGAGATAAGGGACAATATGGCCAGTTATCTTACATTAATGGCTAGTCTGTTGTATAAATCAATGACCTTGGACTCTTGTAGATGTATATGTTTCCATAGTTCATATAATCTTAATCTTGATAGTTAAATGGACCAAGGCTTATGCATGTAGTAGGAATTGATGGGTGGCATTGACTGGATTTTGCTTGGGTAATGCATGTAGTTTCCTTGGCAAAGATGAGATTTGATTGAGGGTGGCAGCTCACTTGCTGGTAAAGTTTTCTGCTGGATGCAGTGGAGACGGACCAGGGGGGGGGATGGATGTAGGATTTATGCTATCTTTCTTGTTATGCCAAACGGCCCAAACCTTGAAGCTAGTTGTGAGTTGAATGTTCTCTTGTTAGTTCATGCTGCTATTCTGGTTCATGAACTTGGTGAACTCACATTATTATTGGATTTGGGACAGTTGATTTGTTTTCCAGTTTTGTTTTGGGTTTTGAGAAATCTTTGGGTGGTTAAATTTAGCTATTCCTCATTAAAAATTAAAAGTATCCATTTACTTGGTTAAATTTCTTGCTTGTTTGATTTGTAAGACCTAATGTTGTTTTGGCTTTAAGTGAATTGGCATCTGAAAGCTCATTTGTCCTGTGGTGTTGCAGAAGTGATTGGGCAATTGGGCATGGTTCAGGCGATGGTGTTGGAAACTCAACCTCAGCAAGGACTCACATTGGGGGCCTATTTTCGAACCCAGATGTACAGTCACTTTGGTCATTTAATTGAAAAAGGTTAGAAAAAGGGGTGGGTACACTCGACCTCGCGGCTCCCACCTGTTGTGAAAGGCAAGCAGCCTCTTTTGAGGAGAATGAAGAACTGGTTGCCTTGTACCTCCTTAAATGAAAATGATGGTCACTTACATTACATTAGCATGAGCAGATAGTTGAATAGATGGCATGCATGCATTGGTGCATCCTCTTCAATTTTACATATATGATAGAGCCAGCCGGGGTCACCTTACTCATTGGCGCTTTGAAATTTCACCAGTCTCGGGAGGGGAACTAGGGACTAGGAGGATGCCGTAAAATATCTCCCCTCCCTCCCTATATTTATCACCCATGTTTTAAGTTTTAACGAAGTTGTTAGCCCTTGAATTGGTAATCAATTAATCAGATACACTTGCGGGCTGCTGTGGTTAATTACCAGAAAAACAAGGTTCAAGAGTAATTTTTAAGACAAGTATCACTATCAACATACACGTTCGTTGACCGAAAGGCCTTGAAATGTATGGAATTGGAAACTCGCATAGGCATAATTGATTAACCCCACGACACATGCATTATTGAATTAGTTGTAAGGTCCAAATGGATTCAGTTATGGTAAAAAGAAAGAAAAAAACTTAAGAAATAAGAACGCATACATAAAAAATGAGCATATTGGACATTTATTATTATCATTGCTTCATCAATTAGAGATTTGATATAATTATATAAATTGAAGGGGCTAGGAGAGCTAGTAGACCAAAATGGACATGGGTGATAGTAAGAAATGATTTAAGCGTTACAAAGTTTACAATGGGTATGATATTAAAGTGAACTGATTGGAGAAACAGTATTCATATAGCTGACCCGATAAAATTGGATTAATGGCTTCGATGATGACTATCAAGTATCAACTTCATCAATGAGAGAGTTCTAAAAATTGAAGGCAAACATCAACGAAAGAAAGTTGCCCAGTGGTTTAGTAACTAGAAGACCATTTACAGCAGCTATAACAAGTGATCTGTTGTAAGTTGGAAGGTGTTGGAGATTACAAAAATGGGTGCTAAATGAAATTGGTTAAGCTAAGCTGGTTGAGCTAGGGGTGTCAATGGACCGGTTTTGGGTTGAACTGTCCAAATTCAAATCCATTTGGATGGATTGGATGGACCAATAAGACATTGAATTTGGATGGACTGGACGGACCAATATGACATATTGGATTGGACCTGGTCCGTCCATAATGAATTTATGGATTGAGCCAATATCTGGTCCATTAATAGAAGATAAGAACATAGGTGTCAATGGTCCAGGTTTGAGTTGAAACCAATCTAAATTAACAGGAATTTGAACAGATTGGACAGTCTCTGAACCGGTCCAAAATGGTCCAATATATTCATTGGACTGAATTGGACCATGTCTATTTGTAATGGACTCACATTTGGACTGGATCGGATTGGACCAAATCTAGTCCAATTGACACCCCTAGGTTGAGCTGCTCTAGTTTAGATTTATGGAGAACATAAGCTATGTTTGTTGAGTCTTGACCACTGTTTTCAAAATCGGACCGGACCGGAAAAACTGGGAACCGGTCACTTGACCGGTTTCGTTTTCCTCCAAAACCGCTTTTTCACTCAAAACTGTTGATTTTGGTCAGCAAACCACTGAATCAGCCGGTTAACTGTTCGAACCGTTTGAACGGTTTTGACTGTTTTCCAATTTTTTATTTTTTTTTAATTTTTTTAATTTTTTGTCAGAACGGGCCGGCCGTTTGGGTTGAACAGTTGGACCGGAAAAATCGGGAACTGGTCAGGTGACCGGTTCAGTTTTCCTCCAAAATCGCTTTTCCTCCAAAACCATTATTTTTGGTCAGTAAACTGCTGAACCGGCCGATAAACCGTTCGAACCGTTTGAACGGTTTTGATCGTTTTTCAATTTTTTAATTTTTTAAATTTTGTCAGAATGGGTCGGCCATTCGGGTCAAACGGTCGGACTGTTCGAATCGGTAACCGAACCCCTGACCGGTTCGATCACCGATTCGTTTTTAAAAACCATGGTCTTGACTTCTGGCTTAGTTGCCTAAGAAGTCAGAGAAGTTTAATAATCTTAACAAGGCATTCTGTATATGTTATTCAACAGGCTGAAGCAGATAGTCCTTCAACTAGCTAATTATGTTACTCTGGATATTTCACTAAACATGACTTATAGGCTATCTGTGTGGGCCCCATATATGAACAGCCAAAAGCCAATGTGCTTCAGCTCTCCCAAACTGGCCCTAGACCACTTTGAAGAAGCTATTAAGTACTCTTTTGGAAGGGCTGATTGAGCTGCTTTTGCGAATCCTCTAAAAGAAGCTTCAATAGAAGCCATGTTTATGGCTTTCAGAACATCAATTTTGGCTTCCCGGGGTTTTCACAAACAAGGTTCATAGGATGTCCAGCTGAGGCCCACCTTTAAAGTCAAATGCCATTGCCTGAAAGCCCTCCCCACCTATAAATTATGACAGTGAAAAATCCAAAGAGCACAAATCGGCTATTAATCACTTATTTTGGAAAGCCATTGTCTGTATTCACTCCGACCTTTTTGCTTCAAAGCAATTGAACGTGCCTGACTGAATCACATTTTCTACGACACGATTTTAGCACAGGTCTGAAAACTTCGATGACAGCATAAAAGATGTGAGTGGTTTTTTTGGTTCTTCGACAGTATGCTTGAACATAGACAATCACTCTATTTTTTCTATTTGGTCAATTTTATTTTTTATACAAAAATTGTTATGGGTACTTTTGGAATAAACAATCATGAATACATACCTTTCAACATTTTCACTCAGTTTAAGGGTATTTTTAAAATAGGGAAAATTTTAGATTAGTACCCTGTACTTTGGGTTTAGTGCCATTTTGGTTCTTGAACTTTAAAACATGATAATTTAGTACCCAAACATTCAAAATGTGCCAATCTATTTCCTGTCATTAACCAGCCATTAAGTGCCATTTGAAAAGATACAAATACCCTTCAAGTGTCATCTAATTCTCTTTATCTACAATCCAAATGCTGACAAAAAATGAATAGTCCCAAATCCTTGCCTCTTTTGTTCAAGAAGGTTGGGGTAACCAGAATGCCCATTAAAAGGTAACCCAAATTTCTTGAATAGAAGAGGCAAGGATTTGAGACTGTTCATTTTTATATCAACATATGGATGGTTGATAAAGAAAATTAGATGACAGTCAAAGGAAATTTGTGTCTTTTCAAATGTCATTTAACTGTTGATTAATAGGCTGGTTAATGACAAGTACTAAATTGACACATTTTGAGTATTGTATTGTTGCATTTTAAAATTTGGGGACCAAAGTGGCATTAGGCCCACGTACATAGTACCAATTGGGAATTTTCCCTTTGAAATAAACAAGCATGGGTCCATGTCTTTGAACATTTTTCAGTTACTTTAGGTGATCATGTTACTATTTTCAGATTGCAAAACAAATAGTTCTATGAAAGGTCAATTAAGTAAATAGGTTGCAAACTATAATGGGTGTTTTAATAAAATGCAAATTATAAGGTAAGTTTAAGTAAATCTGTAAAACTATAGGGATGTTCTAGTAAATGACCCTTTGATAATTAAGCACATGTTTGAGTTATTATTGAGTTGGCCTCGGATGCCACATGTCACCTCCGTGGTCGCCTTATCACTTTGGCCATGTCAACATCACGTCATGTGGATAAGTGTGACCAAAACAAGAGAGCATTGTACGGTGACGACAACTCCGCTGGGGATTAGGTCTTATCCTGAAGACCTTGATAGGCAACTTCATCCCGATAGCCTCGTAAACCTCATTCGACCAGGACATAGGTTTTCGGCTATAAAAAAGTACCTCTCACTCAAGATAAGGGATCCAACTTTTAACTTCCATACTGCTACTTTGCTCGAACTAGCAATGTTCTCCCAATTGCTCGGCCCGACCACCCATCCTCTTTCACTAACTTGAACATCAAAGTACCTACTCGGGGAATAACTCCTCACTCTAACCTTGTTCTTGGTTTCAGATCTTGATGCGTGGCATCATCTTTCCACCTCAGCTCCGCCTAGTTGGCAGGATCATATGAGTGTGACCTTAGTTCAAGAATTAACTCGGGTTGAGCAGCATCAACACCTTCCTGGTTCCCTCAACTCACTTATCAGTTGTGGCAAATGAAAGTATAGGGAGTATGTATAATTTACCCTTAATGTTTCAAAAAGCCACCCTAACGTCCTTACCCTTCAAGAATCCCATGAAAGATTGTTCTTCTGGAACACATCGTTGAGCAACGGCAAACACAGACTTCTGAAGGTGACATAGGATGAAAACGTGAAAAGCAGAGTCTTGAGTCTTGACAAATGGATAAAACTAGAGGAAGAAACCACACCATATTTCATTATTTCTTCAATTGCTGCCTCATATACCCATTCCTTCATGCCGACTGTAACACTTTCTTGTCAAGGCAGTCATTTTTCTCCATCAACAATTTGTTCATTGCTGTTAATTTCCTGTTCACCTGTAATTGAGAAGTCTCTTTCAGCAAGGAAAGAACATTCCCTTCTTGTATTCCTCACTCTCATCCTCACCGGCGTACTCGCCAAGTTGGGCATGGGAATTTACTTTCGCACGCACCAAAGGGCCTCCTGAGCAGCTTCTACATTCTCTGAAGTCCTTTCCATATCTTCAGCATAGAGTTCTTTAGTGCCCGTGCTTATGAGAATGAAACATGCCATGGGTTGGCGCTTTGGTTAATTTACGGTGTTCGGGTTCGGTGTTGCTGCTTCAACTTAAGATTGTCCTCCCGACAAGAACTGGGCACCAAGAAAATCAATATTCTCTGATCGTTAGTTTCTTTCTTCAGAGGTTCATGTTATACAGTAAGATGCTTATAAACTAATAGAAAATCAAATTCTGAAAGTAGAAAGGTGGAGAGAAATATCTCTGTTCTCGGTATTAAAAGATTATTTTTAAATCTATTTGGCACTAATCGAAGTGAAAAACTATCGTCGGGACTTGGGAGGTGTCTGTCAACGGGCAATCGGAAATTTTGAATCAACTCTAATGATTTTTACATAGAGATAAAAGGAGAAATATTACATACGATAAAAATTTGGCTTTCTGTCCTTCAAATTCCGTCTCTGTTCTTTCTCTCTCTCTGTAAATGTGTAAACCTCTTTGTCTCAGAGTTGGGAGCAAGGTGATTCTCGTATAGTATTTTGAGCTGCATATTTCATTTATGCGTTGTGGAGGCATATTTTGAAAATTTGATGAGTAATTAAGGGCAAAAGAGTCGTTTGACCAATTTAACGTTAAGAGGTGACGAGAAGTGAATTTATGAAAGTTTAAGGCACTTTATGTAGGTTTTGAAAATCGTATGGTTATGTAAGTTATTTATCAGATAGTTCAGGGTGGTTTAAGTAATTTACGTTTAGGGTTTTGATTACTTGAAGTTTGAAGTTCAAAACTTGAAGAACAAAGTTCGCTGGCGTCTCAGTCTCAAACAGGTGAGCCTTATTTGTTTCATTGTTTCTTTACTTCTTCTTCCTCTTCCTCCTCCTCCTCCTTTTCTTCTTCTTCTTCTTCTTCTTCTTCTTCTTCTTCTTCGTCGTCGTCGTCGTCGTCCATGGAAACGTTTGTAGTTGGGTCATGTTTCTCTTCGGCCTTTTGCGACTGCGGAAAACTACTAAGGACGCCCTCAATCATTTCTAATAAAATCCCATTTTTGTATATAGTTTTCTTTCTCTACTGTACTTAATTGAATTCTAATATCATACAGTTGTTGTTCTTAAGTTTGCATTTTAACGTGATACGCCGTGATTCTGTTGGTTCCACGCCAGGATGATTTGAAACGCCTTAGTGAACTTTGTTTTTTCCCCTTTGAAATGTGAGCGCTTTGGTGAAATTTTAAGCGTCTTGTTGTTTTTCACCAAGGGTGCTGAGTAGGTTTCCTGGAATTTCATAAATTGGTGTTGAGAGGGACAGAGAAAATTGCAACTTTGAACAATGCCTGAAGTGGAGGGTTTGAGGTATAAGATCAATAAGAAAGTAAAACTTAAAGTTGGAAAGGCAAAGGTTTGCGAGGATGATTCTAAACCTGTCAATGCAAGGAGGAAACTGAGCGATGGGAGTAACAAAGGACCAAGTAGTAAATACAAAATTGATGGTACAATATTGTACGAGAGAGAGAATGGTGGAAAGAAAAACTCTAGGTCACTTGCAGAAGATAAACGTAATTTGAATCAGGAGGGGTATGACGGTGAGGTCAATGGAAGAAAACCATTTAGACAATCTTCTACTGACAGGAAAAGAAAGAGAATCTATGCTGATCAAGATGATGATGGGGAAGGAATGCAGAACAATGTAAATGTGCAAAACAAAAAACCGTTGTCTAAGGAGGGAAAACATTCAAGCAGAGACGACTCTAGAAGCAGAAAAGCAAAATCTCATGATGTTCAACAGTTGAGTGCAAAGTTTTCATCTAGTAGATCCAGGAAATCTTCCAAAGATGAATTTATTGATGGAAAAAGCAGCAAAAAAGCACTTCTTTCATTGAGGTTACATGGTGGAATGAAGGAACTTTCTTATGACAGTAAAAGTTCTTCCCACAGACTTGGAATTCAAAAGGGAAGTGCAGAGGTCTCAAATGAGAAAATCAAGTCAAAAGTAAAAACTGTGGAGGGGAAGGTATATTCAAAATTGGATGGTAGTGAGGATGATTCACTGAAAAAACATGGCAAAAGCATGTCTGAACCAACTAAGCATACAGGTCAGAAGCAGCATAGACATATGGCTAGATCTCTTGAAAAAACTTTGAGGAAAATGAGGAGAGATAAAAAAGCTCTCGACAATGACTGTGCAGTGCCTGATGCTCCACCAAAGAAAAGGAAGCGAGTAATAAGAATAGATCCACACGACATCTCAAATAAACGACTGGATGATGGAATTTCTGCTAATGGTTAGTATCTAACTACTTGTTTCTAATTCATTGATGTCCCTAACTGCCCTCAATCTGTTTGTTTGCATTTTCTCTTATGTGCTTTAATAAGGTTTGTTTATTAGTAAATATAGTTTAGTCAGTTGGAATGAAGGAAATGATTAGCCTAATGCAGGTGGGATTTGATCCCAATTCTCAGCTACAACCAGCAGGAGACCTTACCAACCAGCCAGTTGGCACCTTGCATAATGCTCATATGCTTTGGTCTATTTTACATTGCCTTCCTCTGCATGCTTGTCCTCATGTAGCTCTATATGTTACCATTAACCATATAAAGACCAAATTTGAAATTGGAGACCTATGAAAAATGACAATGGAGATGGTAATCCTTTCTGTTTTAGTTTTGGCTTTTAAAATGCAAAAATGCTGCTTCTGTTTCTTCATCTCTTGGGAGGTTGAGGTGTATCATGTAGACCTTGGCCGTGAAGACAAAAGAGGTGTATAGTTCTTCCTAAGAAACAATAGTAAAAGAACATATTAATTTTCTTTTCTGAAAATGCATATTATCAGACATTGTAATATACATTTCCACTGCACTATGTTTTTGCATGCATTGTTTAAATGGAATTTTGTAAAGTTTTCCTGTCATGATGTCACAAACAACTTATTTTCTTTCTGATCCTTTTTCACATGCATTCCAGAGAGTTATGTAAAGAAGGAAGAAGATATAGAGAAAGCTGTTGAAATTTCAAAGAATGCACAGTTCCGTGCAATACAACCTAGCCCTTCAATCCTTTCTTTTGTGGAAGATAATGTACTTTAGCTTGCCATGACCAAGTGATGTTCCATTTCCTTGTTTACTTTAGCTTTGGAAAATTTGTTGATGTTCCCTCATTTTTTCTGATCTGTGCGTTATGATTCCATTTGGATTTGTTGGCAGTTGTTAGGTCGTAGACGCTTGATTGAACTGAGGAGGTCAGGGTACAATATCAATCTTTCTGCCCCCCTAGATAACATCCCCTTCTCTACAAATCCAGAAAGAGAAAGGATTGAAGAAACTGTATGCTTTGTTTACACGTTAAACTCTTAAGTTTCTTCATCATTTATTCATTCATGTTGGTTTTCTTAACATTCTTGCTCATTAAGCTTTTTATATGGATATTTGGTATGTCACCCTATTTGGTGCTAGTGTGCTTTTCTTTTTATTCTTTTATTTTTCTCTGTATCTTTTCCTATTTACTTTAGGAATTTTTTTTGGACTAAAGGTAAGGTAGAATTTTATTAAATCAGAGATAATAATACAAGAGGGTCCCTCCAAAGTCATCTTTTGGGTGGAGACAGCATGGATTTCAAGCCATTACAAATTCCAGAAATTCCTAGAACCCAACCTAGCCCCCAATTGGGTGGCTTGAAACCCCTTGACAGCCGAGACCCAAGACAGGAGTTTTTTTTTTTTTTTTTGATCAGCACCCAAGACAGGAGTTTTCCAAAGACAAAAAGCAATAAGATCTTCTGAATCTTTGCATGTATTACAGAATATCCTTTTGTTTCTCTCAGTCCATATAGAGATAATAGCAAGCAGCCGGAATGGTCTCCCAGATGCTTCTTGCAAGCTTTGACGGTCCCTGCAGCTCCCAACAATTCAGCAGCTCCTTCACAGTGCTTGGCATGACCCAGCTAATACCCAGTGCTGAAAGAAAGTGATTCCAGATTTTTGTTGAGACAGAGCAGTGGATGAACAGAATGGCTTTTGTCTTCTTGTTTTTGTCCACATAGCACACAAACTAATTCCTGGATCTGCATACCTCTTTTTAACAAATGTGTTTTAGTTAAACATCTGTCTAAAGCATTAACCTTTCAGGGGGGTACAAAATTCTAAACTTTAGCAGCCGAAAAATCTGCTGGACTGAGGTTAGACAAATGCCTAACAAAAGATCTAACAGAGAAATGGCCATCTGAACTCCAACTCCATACCCAACTATCCTCCACAAGCCGATTCAGGGGATGAAGGGAAATCAGCTCCAAAAACTCGGTGAAGCTTTCAATCTCCCTATCTTGAAAATTCTTTTTGAAGAAAGGGCACCAGATCACAGAGCCTTCATTAATTTCGTAGCACTCCCAGATAAACAGATCCTGGGGTTCTGCAATCTGGAAAAGCTGTGGGAATTTGATCGGAGAGAGTGGATTGCCCACACCAAGGATCCTTCCAAGAAAGTAATCTATCCCCTTTCCCTGGCTTGGGTCTCAATCCTATGCTAAAGACAGGAAGAATATCCATGGTTTTTTTTCCAAATTGAGCAACCAAGAGAATTGAAAGAGGAGTTAGTGATCCAATCCCCACTGTAAACAAGCTGCTTTTTGTTCCAATTTACCTTCAAACCTGATACTACTTCAAACCAACTGAGCCCCCCGACCAAAATCTCAATTTGATCCTCCTTTGCTTCTACAAAAAATAAGGTATCATCTGCAAATTGTAAGACCTGGAGTCGCCTCAAATCCTTTCCATAGGCTCTCCTCCCCCACTGACTTAATGAAAATAGTGAGAATTTCCATTACACATGAATAATAGGGGGGAAAGGGTGTCTCCCTGCCGAAGTCCCTTTGAGCTTTTGAAGAAACCCACTGATTGTCCGTCCATTAACTAGAATAGAAAATTTAGGAGAGGTAATACAGACTTTTATCCAATTCCTCTAACCAAAATTCATCATCTCTAGAACAAAGTCCAAACATCTCCAATTTACATTGTCGTAAGCCTTTTCCAAATCCAGCGTACAGATCACACCTGGAGAACCCTCTCTTTGCTTAGATTCAATTCTTTCATTTGCCACCAAGACACTATCCACCATTTGGCGCCCTGGAACAAACACAAACTGATTTTGAGAGATCATATCAGCAAGGACCTTTTTCATTCTTTCAGCTAAGACTTTGGCTAGGATTTGTAGAAAATATTCAGCAAACTTATTGGCCTGAAATCGTTAATAACAGTTGCTCCTTCAATCTTCGGAATCAAGGAGATGAATGTGGCATTCAGACTCCTTTCCAATAGGGGTGTCAATTGGACTGGATTTGGTCCAATCCGATCCAGTCCAATGTGAGTCCATTATAAATGGACCAGGTCCAATCCAATCCAATGAATGTTTTGCACCAATTTGGACTGGTCCAATTCAATGTCTGGACCATTCAATCTGTTCAAATTCATTTTGATTTAGATTGGTTTCAACCCAAACCCAGTCCATTGACACATATATTCTTATCTTTTATCAATGGACCAGATATTGGCTTAATCCAACCCAATCCAATATAAATTTGTTACGGACGGACCAGGTCCAATCCAATCTAATAAATATTTTGGACTGGATTGGTCCAATCCAATATGTCTTGTTGGTCTGTCCAATCCGTCCAAATTGATTTTGGACTAGATCGGGTCCAATCCGTCCAAATTGATTTTGGACTAGATCGGGTCCAATACAAAACCGGTCCATTGACACTCTTACTTTCCAGAGATGCATTCCTATGAAAATTTTGGAAAACTTGCATAACATCGGCCTTTATCACATCCCGACAGCTTTTATAGAATAGGTTGATGAGCCCGTCTGGACCTGGGGATTTCTCCATCTCCAAGTTTTTTATTACTTGCCAGATTTCCTCTTCCAAGAAAGGAGCCTCTAACAGACTCTTCTGCACTTCAGAGATTTTTTTGAAATTTAATCCATTCTTTTATATTGGCACTTCTGTTTCAATCCTTGTAACACGAGATGATTTGCATTGCATCACATTCTTTTAGATGCTAAGTGCTCCTTCACCTCAGTACTGCTACATGCATGGTGGGATCCATTAATCTTTTCTCCTAGGGTGTCTTTTCATGGCTCATATCATGCTTGTAGCCACACTAAATTTGGGATATGCACACTTGTCATGGGGCTAATCGCTGAGGTCCTATGTGTCTTGAATGGGTCAAGTAAGCCTGTGATAACAAACAATACCACTTGAAAAGCAACAACAATAGCACAAGATCGGCAAAAGTAGTTATCAGCTGGTTGAGGAAAAAGAAACAGCTCCTTGGTTCTTTAGGAAAGAGTTCAAGAAGTTTAAAAGGTTTACAGAAGGTATGCAGGTGGATTTTCAATGGACCCCGAGATCGGCAAACAGTTTGGCAGATGAGCAGATCAACTAGCAAAACAGGGGGTGCACAGGGAAACCTGTTTCTGGTCTCAATTGTAATGGCAAAAGTAAAGTTGGGTAGTTTCTAATGGTTAAACTTTCAGGGGTAACCGAGGCTACCCTTGGTATAACTTTTATTCTGTTCTTTAATAAAATCTATTTTATTCGTCAAAAAAAGAAAAAAAAAACAATAGCACAGGAATTAGGCAAAATGCAGCATGTATTGCATCCTCGGAGATCTATTTTGATATGATTCTTGGTTCTGTGGATGAAGAGGTTTTTAACTAACCCACTAGAGTTTGCCTTCCCAAGGCCATTGCTTGTGCTTCAGTGCTGTTTATGATGGGTTTTGACTATGTTGGGGAGTCCTTTGACTGAAGATTAGGCCAAGTCCTTGGCTAGTGACTTCGAAATAGATAGGACTCCAGGTCTAAATGTAAGGCTTCTTTCCTTTTCTTTTTACCTTCACCGCCAAGGAGAGGGAAGAGGGAAGGGATATATATACACAAGAGGCAAAAATTTGGTCAATATGGCACCCAGAAGTCTAATGTAAGAATATATATACACAAGAGGCAAAAATTTTTACCATCTAGCATGAAGACCTTGTTTAGATGGGTTTAACGATCCATAGTTTCTTTAGCAGTTTATTTTGCAAAATGAAAGAAAGGAGCTAATTGTGAAGATTTGTATTGGGGGGCTTTTCTTTCTTTGTTGCTTCATGATGGTTTATTGTATGTTTGGATTGAGGTCACTGTACCCCTAGCTTCTGGTATCTTTTTTTTTTTTTTTTCTCATTCTGTAGTCTAATACTTTGTAATTGATCTATTATCAATCAACAGAAAATATACTTCATTATATTCATTTTGCAAGTATATAACCATCTGAATAATGATAACAAATTTATGGTTAACTAATACCTTGTCTATTTCCGCAGGTATTTAGGAATAAATTGACATTTTTTGCTGCAGCAAAAGTTTCTTCATCATTTCCACCTCCTGACCTTCCAGAGATTGCGTTTGCAGGTTATGGTTTTTTCTTGTCTTCACAAATTGACTGCTTTTTATATTTTTCTGTTCTCTGCTTGTCATGATTATGCTTTGTACTCTATTTTGCAAGCCTTCAACCGTTAAGTTGTTAGGATCTTCCAGTTAATGATGGTTCAACTGAAAAACCATTTATTCTTTTCTTTTCTTTCAAATTTTGCCCCTTTTTTTTTGGGGGGGGGGGTGACTATACCATTAGTTTGATATAGGTTCACCCTAGTTGAATGGGGTGAATTACTATTTATATTTGGTAAGCTGGTCTGATTTTTAAAAGATTGGTGGAATACAATTTTCAAATCATGGATGATTGTTTCACTAGATCAGACTTAACTGTTAGCACACAATAACAAGAAGGCATTTTACTTGTTGTGCATGTTGTTTCTGTTTATTATTTGTAGTTCTTATGTAGTTATATGGGCATTTCTATGTCTTGATACCCCATTTTCATGCCATGAAATGATTTGAATTCATTGTGGTCTTCCTTCACATTGAAGTACATTTAATGAATAAAGTTGATTTCATTAGGAAGATCAAATGTTGGGAAGTCATCACTACTAAATGCACTTACAAGACAATGGGGTGTAGTACGGACATCAGACAAGCCGGGACTTACTCAGGTATTGAGAATTTCAAAGCTCTTCATGAATGTTGAGATATCAGTATGGGACCTGTAATAATTTATTAATTATTCTTTTGCAGACCATTAATTTCTTCAAGCTTGGTTCAAAGCTCTGCTTAGTGGATTTGCCTGGATATGGATTTGCTTATGCCAAAGAAGAAGTTAAGGAGGCTTGGGAGGAGCTTGTGAGTAATACATATGCACATATACACACACATACAAATATATATGCATGCACATGTGCATACGGTCACAGACATACATATATACATATACACACATGCAAGCATATTCATCTAACATCTACATGTTTTTGGCTGATGTCCAATAATGTCAATAGGGAATATCACTAGAAGGTTGTGCCACATACACTATAATCTTCATGAACAACTGAGTGTCAACTGTCAAGTTCAACTGCTCATTTGGCGCTTGTAGCACCTGATTGGTGATATCTCAGAGTATTAACAATTCTGCATTTTTTACCAGTGAAGCAGAAAGGGAAAGTAAAGTTGGACAGAATATATTAAGCAATGATATACAAAGCCATGCAATTAAAAAGTTTTGGTGTCAACAGTTAGAATCACTGTAACTTATTATTATTATTATTTACTTTAGAATCACTATTTTTCCTAAGAAATATGTTGTGAATGATATGAGCTGTTAATTGCTTTCACATGATAACCAATTCTAGTCAGGAATTTCGAGTATCATACAAAACTGTCTCTCGGTGTAGAAAGCCAAGGGGTATTGAAACTTACTAGAAATTGGAGGTTAAACTTGAGGAAGTGAAGGAAACATCATTTGTGTAGTAGGTTAAACTTTTATGTTGCTATGGAAAGTTGCAATATAAAATTAACATCGGGATCTGGGATGAAACTTGAACTTATGTAACCTGTGCCATGTGAATGCTGGATGTATAGTAGTGATAAGCTTTGTTCTATGCAGGTGTGCAACTCAGGATGGGTTAATCGATTTGATGTTAACCCTAGCCAATCCAATTGTTAAAACCTCAATTTGGGGTGTCATGGGTCGGGTTAAGTGGTAAACCTGCATTGTCCCAACTGTAATGGTTTAGGGTCAGGTCAGCCTTAACTGGGTTTCAGATTGTGCTTGCTCTGTGCTAGACCTGACTTGTTAACATTGTAATATTGCAATATTTGTAAATATAGCCTTGATTGAGTATGGATGTACCATTTGAGGGAGAGGTTGGGTTGGGTTTGGATTTCCATTTCGTTTAGATGGGCCAGGTTCAGGTTGAGCCAAACCTGACCCGTTGGCATCCCTCCTCCCTCACAGTTTTCATCCTAAGGTTCTCAATCCCAACTAATCCTGTTCAACCAACCCAAATTCCGATAAAATTTACAAATACATGAACAAATACAAATTATCATACTCATGAATCTATACATATTATACAGCATGTGACATATAGATATCATATTATAGTAATATTTCACAATAAACACCCTCCAACATCAACCTCTCCTCCCCATCTCACATAAACATATTTATATCATACATAATGTACAAGAATATATAATTACAAGTGTAATATATAGGATTTTGGATTGGATCTGGTTGCCAAGGCATCAAGCGTAACCTAATCCTCAATCCAACTCTATTCTTTTTTTCTTTTTTGGGGTTGGGTTGGGGTTGACCCAACCCAAGTTGCAACCTTTGTATTGTCCCATGTATTATGCATGTTGAGTATGCTTTTCAATGTAGGGGGAACTTTTCAAGTTTAATGTTGCTGTTTTGTCTCATCTTTGAACACAGTGCCATGCCATGATTGTAATACATCACTTGATTCTTCAACAATTTGATAGTGGCCACTTTGTAATTAATTCTGTAGGTGAAGGAGTATGTTTCAACACGAATTGGTTTGAAGAGGGTATGCCTTCTTATTGACACTAAATGGGGCATGAAGCCAAGGGATCATGAGCTCATTAACTTGATGGAAAGGTATACATACCCACTCTTATAGACAACTATCTTACAACTTCTAGAGATGGTTGATGTTTGAACACTTCTGATTGGTGTAATGGACTGCAGTTGCCCAGATGTGCATGCACATTGACATTGCCACATACAAAGACCCAGTCTTCAAATAAAGGGAATGACAACTTTAGAGAGTGGTTTTGCAGTCTGCATTTAATTTTGTTATTATTTTCTATTGCTGAGTTCTTAAAAATCTCACTGATTTTAAGAATTTGACAAAGTTCATGATTGGCCGAACTTTCTTTTTAGCCTTGTTGGTTTCATACATTAGGCAATTAGCTTTGGTGCCATATTGACCAAAGTTTGCCCGCAACATGCTTCAAAATTTTTAATTAATGAGCTGCAAACAATTGGTATGTCATGCAATTATATCACCATTCTCATCTGCTCTGTGATCAATCTCTGGCATGCAAGGGATAGCATCTCTAGATGTGTTATACATGCATGTATAACAGAGTTTCTGCTTCTTCCACAAGTGTTTTTACTCATCTTTCTGATTTTTTTTAAGGTATAGTGGCAGTACCACATTGGGAACCATAAATACATTGCAAGCTGTTTTGCATGTTTTCCGATCATTATTTGCCATCTATTGTTTAGTTTGTGTGGATAGACCATTGGTATGCTTTATAAAAGTGGTGTAGAACACTTGCAGTGGAAACTGATCCATCCAGTTGCTGGCCTTGCAATGGCTGTATGCCTGATTCAATTGTTTCAATGATCTTCTCCCACCCAGTTACTTTTCATTGCTGAAGAAAATGTTTTTTGATTGGTGATTGCTGAGGAAACTGTTGAAAATGGTCCCATTCTCCCAGACCCAATAATCCAGAAAAATATGTTGCCTTTTCATGCACACCCCACTTAGCTAGGCAGGCAGTTGGCTGACCTGCATTTCTATTACTCGTGGTATGGACTGATCACTGTTGTCTTTTATTTTAGATATTTGTATTTTCAATCATTTTTATTATTTTGAGCTTTCTCGTGGGATATAATTTTGCCTTTTATTATTATGGTATGAGGTTTGTGTAGTTAAAAAATCATTATGATTGAGGTTGGTACCTAACTTACCAAGTTAGGAGGGGATGTGACAGCATATATGTGAAGTGTATGGTCAGAAAATTAAATGAAGTATTTACCTTTGTGTGCATGCAAGTCTGAGCCATTTTATGATAATTTCACAGATCTCAAACAAAATACCAGATTGTATTAACCAAGACTGATGTGGTATTTCCAATTGATGTGGCACGCCGTGCAATGCAAATTGAAGAGGTTAGTACCTATGCAAAGTTTTAAGTACATTTTGTTTTAAAAGTCATTATTCAGTTAAACCAAGTACAGTGCCATCCAATTCTGGACATTTGGATTTCTTACAGGGTTTCCATGAGAAAACATGCTAGACGGTAGGTTTTTTTTGGCCTTTGAATCCAGGAGCTCAGGACTGTGCATGTGATGGACCTTGTTAAATCCTTGGCTTGTTTTAATTCTATGGCTTTGAGCTTTCTATTTCTGCATTTATCCTATGAACTGAAATATCGGTAAAATATCATCTCATTTTGCAGAGCCTCAAGGAAAATAAATCAGTAGTACAACCTGTGGTATGGAATTTTGTTCATTTTATTTTGACATCAGATTTCGTGTTCATAATAAAACATGATAAACTAATTTCCTTGACTTCTTTCACTATTTAAGATGATGGTGAGCTCAAAGACGGGAGCTGGTATTCGAGGCCTAAGAACGGTGCTTTCCGCCATGACTAGGTTTGCTAAACTGTAGAAAGCCATTGGTTAAGGGAATGATGATTTGGTATGCCTTCTCTAGCCCCTCCTCTTCCATGCATTTTGAAGATCGGATTACCTGATTGGTCACTTCATGATGTTCTTAACAGGTAAAGCCATTGGGGATTGTGATATCATATGCCTATTATCTTTACTTCAAATCGTTGTATTCTTTAATTTTCCCGCATGGTTGTGATCTTGTAATGTCGGGTTAAGCTGAAACATAGCAATAATATAGAAATCATGGAAGACCAAGCATATTTCTGTTTTTAATTCCGGATTAGCGTTAATGCGTTATCATTTAACAAATACATAAATACTGAGGGGGTGTTCTTTTTTCGGATTTTGAGAGGGGGAAAGTTGGTCAATGGGATTTTGGTTTTCATTGACCACGAATCTCATTTTCTTTTTTAGATTTATGTTAGGAGCAGTGAAAGTTTATTTTCCTAGATGTCACTTACATGGGTAAGTAATACCCATCTCCACCTAGGGGGAAAGTTGCTAACACTTGAATGGAACAAAATGCCCTTTTTAATAATGGATTTTTATGGCTAAAATGGTCATTGTCTTATTTATATGAAAAATAAAAGAACATGGGTAAATGTACTTACTCGGATTTGTGTTTCCGAGGAAAAAGTTACTTGGATAACTGTATTTATCCGGGTAAATAACTTACCGAAAAACGAATGGGGCCTGAATGTTTAATGTTTAGCCCTGTCTAAGCAAAAAACTAAGCTACAGTGCAAGTTCAATTTGTTAGAAAGTCACCTGCCACAGACGGCCATGGATGGATGACGTTTGAGTTTTGATATATTGACCTCGGTGCTCACGTTCTATGGTGAGGAAAATAATTAAGGTGAAAATATGAGTGAACGCGCCAAAGTCACAAATACCAAACACCCATTACCATAGGTATGCTTTTGATATGACTTGGGAACTCGGTTCTTTTTAGGGTTATGCGTAAAATTAATCATACAACAGAATCTCTAGTCTAGTTTAGTAATAGATTTTTTCACTGTTTTCAAAACCGGACTGGATTGGATGGTTGGACTGGAAAAATCGAGAACTGGTTCTGTTTTTTTCCAAAACTGTTGATTTTGGTCAGCAAATCACTGAACTGGTCGGTTAACCGTTTGAACGGTTTTGACTATTTTCTAATTTATTTATTTATTTTTTGTCAAAATGGGTTGGCTGTTCGGGTCAAATGATCGGACTGTTTGAATCCGTAACCGGACCCCTGACTAATGCAGTCACCGGTTCATTTTTAAAAACTATGGATATTTTTGGCAGATTTTTATGCTTATAATTGCTTCTAGATGGCTGCTTTTTATGAACTAGTTTAACATAAATGAGCACTAGGTTTAAATGAAGGGCAGCCCAGTGCAGAGGGCCAGAGGCTGATACCAATGCGTGGTTTAGGGAGGGACAAATGTATGCACATTTACCTTGCACAAATAGAACAAAGAGGCTATTTCCAAGATTTAAACCCTGGTCATCCAGGTTGCAATGGAACAGCTCATAATAATAAATAAATAAATAAAAATTTGATGGGTTCATTGTTAAAATTTGGGTTTTACTTTGCCACGTCAGCACTTGATGATTTGTCCAACTAAAAGAAGAGGCTTATTGTTACGCTTACAAAGTATTTTGGTTTCTTGTATGGAGCCGTGCCTTAACTCACTGTTGACCACGCTGATTGGACCATTTCATTTATCAAGTAGTCATGATTTTGGTTTGGGTTAACCCTAATCTTACCATTATCTTAGAAATTGTTGACTTTGTCAGAAATCCTTCTAAGTTGAGCAGTTGAACCATTTATGGAGGCATTCATAAAATTATTTATTTATGAATGTATTATTTTTTGTATATATGTTAGTTAAATATAGCTGTCGTGCTTGGATCAAGGTGCTTATTTTGTTTTATTTTTGTGCAACTTTTCGCAATCCACGGTGTGCTATGTAACAAGGCGCTTAATTTTGCCAACAAATGCCTTTTCAACCTGAAATCTCAATTTTTACCTTTTTCAGTTAAAACAAGAAAGTTTAGAAATTTTTACATTTTAAAAATTTTTTAATTCATGTTATTTTTAAAATTACCAATTGGAAACTCTACTTTTCCCAAAAAAATCTTCTTAAAATCTACTCTCTCTCTCTCTCTCTCTCCCACACATACACGTTCCAAAAACCTAAATAATCTAGTATCCTAAAATTTCTCCTAAGCAATCTCCCCCACTATCTCTAATTTTCCCTAAATTATCTCTAATTTAGTAGAGAGTTTTTCTCCTAGAAATTATCTCTAATTCTTATTTTTATCTTCTCCCTCACTTTTTATCTACATTTATCTAAAGAAAGTTTGAATTAAAAAAAATTAAGTATTATTTAAATATTTTAATAAAATTATATAATAACTTTAAAATATTTATTAAAAAGACAAAATAAATATAATCGATATAATAGTATTCATATTATTAATAATTATTTAATTTTTTGGATTATTCAATCTAAATGTTATTCAAATAATAAAAATCTAACATTAAAAATGAAATATTATTTAATATTTTAAATAACTAAATATTTAACATAACTAGATTTATGATCGGGTCATTCAATTTTAGTCAATTTACAAGTGGCCAAAGTGAAACTAATCCAACCCATTTGGGTTTGGAAATTGTTGCACCAAAGCCGATTGTAAATACTAGAAATCAAGTTGGTCAATTTCAATAGTTTGATTAGGAATGGCAATAGGACGGGGTGGGGACGAGGAGCCTCTCCCCATCCCTGTTTTCACAGGGATCCCCATTCCTCGTCATTCTTTATAATGTCAACCAATATGTTTTTGTTTTTTATTTTATTTGAAAAAATAAAAATAAAATAATTAAAGTTTACAATCCTATTAGAAAATATTCAAACATATTCAACCATATTTTTAAAAATATTTACATATAGATGTATGTATACATATATACATATATAAATGTTTGCGTATATATACATATATTAGTGGGAATCCCATGGGACGGGAATTGGGGCCCCCACGGGGCAGGGAGTAGACCTGTTCATGAGTTGAGCTTTGTATATGTATCAACATAATACACTCAGGCCCGACCATCGGGCCTAGGTCTTGAGCCTGAGCCCGAGTCTCATATAAAGCTCGAAGCCCATGCCCGAGCTCGAGCTCGGCTAGAAATTTGAAAATAGAATTTTTTTTTTCTTTTTTATTCAATAAAAGTGTTTTATTTATATTAAAAACCTTCAAAACTCAAAAATAATAAACATCTCACTATTACTTGGAAAAAAGGAGAAGAAGAACAAAGAAAAAATATTGTATATATATTTTTTATTAAATAAAATATATTTTTATTATTTAATATATAATATCAAGTTGAGCTCGGTTCTTTAGGCTCGAGCCCAAGCCCACAGGCCTAAAATTATGACCAAGCCCAACTTATAACAGATTGGGCGTCAGGCTACCCAGTCCATGAACAGGTCTAGCAAGGAGTGTTCTCCCTGTCCCCATGCTGTCCTCACCAATGGGGGGGAAATCATCCCCATCCCCGCCCCATTCGGTTCGGATCCCCATAAGGATTGGGGAAATGAGAAAAATTGCCATTCCTATGTTTGATAAATAACTCTAGCCAAAATTAATTATTGTTATTTTTGTATTGTAAAAAAAATATTAAAAGTAGTAATAAAATATATATAATTATTAATTATTATATAAAACAATTGTATACTCTTACATACTTTTATTATTTATTTTTAACTTAACAAATCCCGTACACGAGTCCCCACTAGTATAAATATAAATTAAGCCTAAAATTGTATCATGGATTTGCCCGTTTGGGAGGGCTTCTGACGTTCCAAACTGAGCCGGTAAGCCCCAAGCAGCAACGTAAAAAATTATAGTAGGTGAAAATCCAAAAAGCCAATCACTGTGTTTTAAAAGCCAGAAACACAGAAACACGGCTGAAATTGCTTTATTTGTCTCCGTTTGTAATTCTTGTTTTTCATCACATCGCATCTCACTTACAACGCAGAAGCCCTCCCAAACGGGTTCAAAGTGAGAGGTTAATTCCGATTTATGTTGTATTTGGCGTTCCTTACTTTAATGACTTATCTCGGGCATTTTATCTGGAAAAGAAAAGATATATCCTTAAAATAAATGCAGCCTTAGTATATGTCCACAGTCTATACAACAAATACAAGAAAGTCAACAGTGCCGTCGCTCCAGCCCACCAAATACCTTCTTTGTCCCAACACCGAATCCGACCTGGAAACAAAACTGTCAAAACTCAACAACTTCATCTCTTCTTTTCAACACACACCCTCCCCCCCCCCCCCCCGGATCTCTCTGTTCTGCAAATTCCCGAAAATGTGTCCGTTGAGGCTGATTCTGCTCTTCATTTCCGCCACCCTCGCTGGATTTTTCGTGTTGAAGAACCTGAAATCAAACCCTGAAACACAAGACTCTGACGAATCGATCGATCCTATTCATGAATCATCTTCGCCGTCGGTTCCTCTACCAACAAAGGTACCTTTCTCGACGTTGACGCAACGAAGTTTAGGGTTCTTTATAGTCTTTTACTTAATTTGATGGGGCTCCTTATATTTCGATTTGTTACATTTTTCGTACAGGTCTTCTCTGCCATGTGTTCGGGATTCTGGACTTGCGTTGACATGGCCAGTGGGAGGTACCTGTGGAGAAATTTGGTTTCTCCGAAGCGTTCCGAATAATTTCGAGGTTCTTCCCTCCTGTTGTTCTTAAACTCCCCCTCTCCCCCCTTTCCACCCTCCACCCTGTTTGTGCTTTATCCTGTTTGTGTTGGTTGTCTATCTCTTGTAATCGCCCCACTCAATTCAGAAGCCCTTGTTCATAAAGGAGCTTTTTTGTAATTGTTACAATGTGAGAATTATACGGGTTTTGTATGCTAGAGTTTTATTTTTCTTTCCCTTAGTTTTTTTCCTCTTTTTTTACTTTTTCTTTCCACGTTTTCCTATAGAATACTTTCTCTTCTGCATCTATATATTCCATTTTACCATTAAAAATAACTAACAATGGCAAAAAAGTGAAGTTAATGGAAAATTATTTACTCGTTAAATCGAATACCTTGCTCAATTCTTCCCATTGAAGAACTTGCTTACACTTACGAGTCTGGAATAGCATGCCTTTTATGGGATTAGTGGCTCGTCATGGAGTCTTATGAAGGACCAGTCCACCGTGGCCATAACCTAGGATACTCATGCTGTAATTAATTGTATTTCCATATTTCACTATGTGGGAATTCCAACAGCAAGGTATTCCCGTTAAGTTGACTATAATTTCAGCAAAATAACTGGAAATTCATCAGTAAGAATTCCCATACTAATTTATCCCGGAAAAAGTACCTCTTTGATGATGTGATCCCATGTCTTTCACCTCTTTAATGCTCAATGCTCTGGAAACCATTCTTTAGCTTGCATTATGTGCTTTGTTTTAGTTGGCTTTGTGAAATGTCAAGCCAGCCAGGGATGGGGCATAGAGGGATAGGAAGGCGAGTTGATTTCCATGGAGAGAACTCAAAGCGCGGGAGGGTTCCAGAAGGTAAACAGTGGAAAAAGGAGCTGAAAGTTGAGTCGAAGAGATTCTTGTTTGATCTTGCAAGGGCTGGAGGCAAGAACCTACTGAAAATCAGAGAAGAAAAGAGGGCAGCAGTTCTCCTAACAGACGAAGTGGTGTTGTGGTTGAAAGGCTTTATTGATGGAGTGAGTGACTCTATCAGAAACAAGGCTGGAGGAACTCCATAGGAGTGCACAGGAAAAGATTTGTAGTTGAGCTGAGAAGAAATGAGAGAGGATGGTTCATTGCTGTCACAGAATTTTTTGACAATAGGAGACAGATGGTTTGTATTCCGGAAGGGAAGGAGGAACAGGGGTGGCTGGCTGTTGCAAATAAATTACAAGATTATCTAAACGAGATACAAGATGTGAATACAAAGGAGCCCGGAGAGCACAAACTTTCGATCCACAAAGGTGACAGAGATGATGAGGAGCAAGGAAATACAAAGCAGATTCTTCCACTTGCGGAGAAGCTTTTGATAGTTCTATAGGGGTGAAAAGGCTTTTGATGGAGGCGGAGAAGAATACCTGGGTGAGGAGAATGTTGGTAACAGCTAATAAGGAAGTGAAGGTGTAAACACCATGGTAAGGCGGAGGTTGGTCAGGTCTCCGAAGGTCCGGAGATGGCGGCGGGAAAGAGAGAGGATGTGGGGAAGGGAGGAGAAGAGAAGAGAGAAGGAGCAAGAGGGATCTCTTGAGAAACCCTAGGTTAGGGTTATATTGTGTTGTCTCCCCTTGGGGAAGAATTGCTTTCCCCTTGGGAAGAATTGCTCTCCCCCTTTTATAGAGAGGGTTAAGGCCATCAGGGAAGGAGTTCTTTCCTGTTAGGAAAGAGGATCTCTCCTGTTAGGAAAGGAGGTCTTATTAAGGGATCATTATTAGAGAATTCTATCCCTTCCGAATTCTTTTCGTGCATTACCCTATTGTATTGACGTGGCGCGAGTGACGTCATCGTTTGGCGAGCGTACTTTCATTAAACCCATATGTGTAACTTAAAGACATACGTGTAACTAGTATCTATTCCTGTTCTACCGTGATTCTGCGGTTCTGTGATGGTGTCGGGTTCATCGTAGTTTTACGCATGTTCGGGTTCATCGGAAATCCATGTGGGTTCATTGCAAACCCGCATGTGCCTTAGCTTTATCGCAAATTCATGCTAGCCAAAGTTTATCGTGACCTGTCCCGGGTGTGAGTTCATTGCAGTCGTGGATTTGCGATGAACTCATCGCAATCGTGCGATGGGTTCTGGATTCATCACAATGTACCTACAGAAGGATTGGAGAAAAGTGTTGGATACAGTGGTGTGCAACGTAGGGACTCAATCCAATGTTGTATTCCTTTTTCTGACAGGAAGGCAATCCTTGACGTAGGTGATGAGCAGTGGGATTTCACTACGTTTGATTCTGAAGAGGGTCTGCTCCAACTCCAGAATTAGAAGCCACTCTGTAATGAAATGGAACTCAACCCTGGAAGTGTCATACTCAAGTTGTTAGGTCTTCCGTTTCATCTATGGAATGTGTCGAACCTGGAGAAAATAGTGAAGTTGTTGGGATGAGCCATGGAGGAGTTTAACTTTCAGGATTTACATGCTATTGAGGTTAAAATTGCAGGGGTGAAACCAGAGTTGCTGCCCAGATCAGTTGATGTGTTAGCTGATGGATACTAGTATCGTGTTTGGCTGATTTCCGAAGTGGAAGCGACTCTTCGGGGAAGAAGAACAAAGGTCGAAGACGCTAAGGTGACAGGCTGGTAGACACGTGGCATGCAACCGGTGGTGAGAGTTACTGGCGAGCAAGGAGATTTATTTGGGGAAGTTGTAAAGTCGTCCAAGGAAAACCAAGGGTCAAATAAGCTGATTAATGGAAAAAATTCAAAAAATTTTGAATTATTAGGAGCAAAAGAGGGTCGGGTTTCCTATGCTAATGTGGTGGCCAAGAGGGGGTGTGGGTCGAGTAAATATAATATGAGAACCGCCTGCTCTGAACCAACCGGGGGTAGATGCGGTTTAATTAGTGGTGTGAAGACCGACTCACGTGATGTTTTAAGTGATCACGTGGGCCAGGGGAAGCAGCTCACGACTATAGACAGCAGTCTCCATCTATCTTCTTCTCCAGCGAAGATAGTTCAGGTTGGACAGTCACGAAGGACTGAACAGGGTTCAAGGGGCTTCCTACAATGGGTACCTCACACAGACGTGGGACTTTGATGTTCACTCTTATTCAGTCCGCCCAAACCCTAGGTATGCACAAGCAAGTGTGGCGGAGAGGGATTCAGTGGATGAAGGTTGGGTAGCATGCAGTTTGGAGGAGGTTGAAGAGGAAGATGACTCAGAAACTGAGTGAGGTCGAAAGACTGATAAGGGATGCTAGGGGGGACAAGATTTTGGGTGTCAAAGGGGAAAGAAGAAAGGGGTTAAGTGATGACCTATTGGGTTTCGGGGAGGAAAACAAGAGAGCAGAATGAAAATTGTCAGTTGGAATGTTAGAGGGTTGGGAAGTGCTAGGAAAAGAGCAGTAATTAAAGAGGTGTTTAAAAAGATAAACCCAGATATAGTTATGTTACAAGAGTCTAAGAGAGCAGAATTTGATGCTAGATGGGCCAGGAGCATTTGGAGAGCTAGGGGGATCAGTTGGGTTACTGCACCTTCTTGGGGGTCTGCAAGGGGTATAATTACACTATGGAAGAATAAGGTTTGCATAGGATTGGAAGAGTTGATAGGCCAATTTTCAGTACACTTGAAGTTTAGGCAGGTGGAGGATGGATTTGAGTGGGTTTTAACAAATGTTTACGTGCCTAATGATTATAGAGAGAGGAGGGTTCTGTGGGAAGAATTAGGGGATATAAGGGGTTTGTGGGAAGGACCTTGGTGTATAGGAGGTGATTTTAATGTAGTCAGGTTTTCAGAAGAATCAAATAATCCTAGGCAGAGGGTGACTACAAGCATGAGGAAGTTTAATCAGTTTGTGGAGGTGTTTGAACTTAAAGAGATTTCTATGGTGCATAGTAACTTCACATGGTCCAATCTACAAGTTAATCCCATTTGTTCTAGGCTGGGTAGATTTCTCTTCTCAGTAGATTGGGAGGAACATTGGGGTAGTTTGGCCTCCAGGACAATTCCTAGGGTAACCTCAGATCATTGGCCTATTACGATTGGAGAGGAAGAATTGGGAAATACAAGGCCTGCCCCGTTTAGATTTGAAAATATGTGGTTACACCACCCAGGTTTTATTAATAAATTCAGGGAATGGTTGTTAGAAAGTGACCCTTCAGTAGAATGGTATGGAATGAGATTCCATAGGAAGTTATAATTTTTGAAGGGCAAAATTAAGGAATGGAATAAGCTAGAATTTGGGAGGCTAGAAGAAAGGAAGCAAGCTGTGATTGCACAACTGGAAGATTTGGATGTGAAGGAAGGGAGGGGTTGTATTACACAGGAGGACAAAGAACAAAGGTAGAAATTGTGAAAACAATTTGGAGGATGAATTGCTTAAGGAGGAAATTAGTTGGAAACAAAAGTCAAGGTGTAAATGGTTGAAAGAGGGGGGTAGGAATACCAAATTTTTTCATGCTATGGCAAGTGGGAGAAAAAGAAAAAATCTCATCTCAAGCTTGGAAGTGGAGGGGACAATCATTTCTAATCATGATGAGATTGTTGGGGCCTTTGCAAACCATTTTAAAAGAGAAAGTTTGAAATGGAGGAAGTAAAAGAAGCAATATTCTCTATGGATAGATCAAAAGCACCAGGCCTAGATGGTTTTTCGATGGCATTTTATCAAGAGTGTTGGGAGATTTTGAAAGAGGAGTTAATGATGGTTTTTGATGAGTTTCACAAAAGAGGAGAAATCAATCCGGGGTTGAATTCTACTTTCATTGCTTTGGTTCCCAAGAAGAGAGAAGCAACACACCCAAGGGATTATAGACCAATCAGTTTAGTAAATAGTTTGTATAAGATCGTTACGAAGGTCTTGTCTCTTAGAATTAGACAGGTACTCACTACCATTGTGTCAAATAATCAAGGAGCTTTTGTGAGAGGTAGGCAGATAATTGATCAAATACTTACAGCAAATGAGAGTGTGGAGGACTTCAAGAAATCAAGGAAAAAGGGTGTGGTTTGTGAGTTAGATTTGGGAAAAGCTTAGACTTGGTAGATTGGACCTTTTTGCTGGAGGTGATGATCAATTTTGGGTTTGGGGATATATGGTGCAGGTGGGTGCTAGGGTGTATTAGGACTTGCCATTACTCTATTTTGGTGAATGGAAAGGTGGTGGACTTCTTCCTGGCATTGAGGGGAATAAGACAAGGAGACCCCCTTTCTCCTTTCTTGTTCACCTTGGTTGCTAAAGTCTTGGGGAGATTGAT